GCGGGCGCCGCCGCCTCTGCGTGTGCCCGGGGCCCCGCGCGGCGCTCGGCCCCGGCCCCGTCCTTACCGCTCATGGTGCCGGGGCCGGGCCGGGCGCGCGGGGCGGGGCGGGGGCGCGGGCGGGCGAGCGGCCGAACCCGCCGGTGCCGCCGAGGGGCTGCCGAGGGAGGGGCCGCGCGCCGCGGCCGCAGCCCCGCGCCCCGCCCCCGCCGCCCCCGCAGCCAATGGGCGCCGCGCGGGCCGCGGAGCGACGGACAGTGCGACCAATGGGAAGCGAGGGCGGCGCGGTGCGGGGGGAGAGGAGGGCGGGCGGACCCCGCCCCGTGGGGGAGGGGGAGCGCGGCGGGGCGGCGGCCAATGGGGGCGCGGGGGGGAAGGGGCGGGCGGCGGCACAGCCTATCAGCGCCCGCGCGGGCTCGCAGGGAGACCCCGTATGGGCGCGGCCGCGGCGGCGCGGGCCGCGGCGTGATGAGCGTGCCCGGCGGCCAGTGGAGTGTGGGAGGCGGGCTGTGGCCGTAATTGGTAGCGCGCAGCGCCAACCGGCTGCGATTGCCGCGCCGCGGAGCGGGAGAGGCACGGATATTGACGGGAGCGCCGGCTAATCCGAGCGCGGAGGCGGCAGCAGCGGCGCGGCACAGAGCCAATCAGCGCGCCGGTCTGTCTCAAACGGGCCAATGGGCACCGCGGAAAGGCGGGGCCAGCGCCCGGGCTGCGCCCTTGGAGGGACGGCGCGGCGAATGGCGGAGCCGGCGCCATGTTGGCTCGGGCTCCCTCAGGCCCGGCCGCGCTCTCCCCGCCCTCGGTACCGCGGGTTACCCGCGGCTCTTCCCTCCCCGAGTCCCTGTTCTATGCCACGAGCGGGCTCGGCCCTGTCGCGACAGCCGCCACGGCCCTGCGACACGTCCTCACGAGCCCGCGGCGCTGTGTGAACACCCCCAGAGCCCTGTCACGACATCGCCCAGTCCTGTCACGACACAACGCCACAGCGGGGAGCCCGTGGGAGCGCCACCCCTGCCCTGGGAACCTGGCTTGGGGAGTTTGGGGGCGTTGTAGGACTTGGGGGCTTGGGGCCAAGATCCTTTATTTTCTAGAAAAATGAGCGGTTTGGGGGCGGGCGGGGCGCGGCGGGAGGAGATCGCGGCCGGCGACACACGGAGAGCGAACAGCAAGGAACACGGAACGGCTTTGGTTTCGCTTTCCAGCATTAAAACCGCCCCCTGGTCCGTGACCTTCTCATTTCCCGGTGTTTTCGGCTCAATTCCCGGCCCGCGGCCCGGGGAGGCCACGCGGCCTCGCCCCCGCCCTCGCTGGGGCTTGAGGACAACCTGGCCCTGCCCTGGCCCTGTCCCTGCCCTGTCCTTGCCCCTGGCCCTGCCCTGTCCTTGCCCTTGTCCTGCTCCCCCCAGACCCTTGGGGTCACTCCGTGTCCCCTCGTCACCTGCAGCGCTGGCACCTGGGGGCAAAAGGGCCTGACAGGCCCTGCGCCAGTGCTGGGGGGACACGGGGACTGTCCCCATCCTGTCACTGGACCTGAGCCCCGGGAGCTGGGGCTGGGCTGGGGGCGTCGAGGGAGCCACGGCAGTACCTGCCCCCCTTAGACCCCCTGAGCCCGTCACTCCCAGTAGGATCCTCGTCCCAGTGACCCCCCTCCAGTAACTCCCACCATTAGGGCCCTGAAAATTACCCCTCCATTAGCACCCCATTGTCCCCAAAGCCCCCATCGGGACCCCCCCAATTAACGCCCCCAATTAACCTCTCGTTGCTCTCCACGGGGACCCGTCCCCAACATCAACATTAACCCCTCGTTGGCCCCGGTGTCCCCAAGCGCCCCCCGGTGGTCGCGGCCGGGCGGTGCCACAGGCTTTGCTGCCGCCTGGCGGGGGCGCCACAGCGGGACCCGGGCAGCGACGGGCACCGGCAGTGCCACCGGCAGTGCCACCGACTGTCACCGGCAGTGCCACCGGCAATGCCACCGGCAGTGCCACCGACTGTCACCGGCAGTGCCACCGGCAGTGCCACCGGCAGTGCCACCGACTGTCACCGGCAGTGCCACCAGCAGTGCCACCGACAGTGTCCTGTCACCCGCCACAGCAGGACCCGGGCAGCGACGGGCACCGGCAGTGCCACCGACTGTCACCGGCAGTGTCACCGGCAGTGCCACCGGCAGTGTCCTGTCCTGGGACCAACACTGTCACCAACCCTGTCCTGTCCCCCAACAGTGCCCCCAAAGCTGCCCTGTCCTGTCCCCGGGGTTCTCACATCAGGGTGCTGTCCTGTCCCGTGTCCCCAAAAGTGTCCCTAACGCTGTCCCTGTCCCCACCTCCCACTGGCTGCATGAGCTCAGGGGACACGGGACTTGGACAGAGGAACCCTCAGCCTTGGACTGGGGGCAAACTGGGGCGAGCTGGGGTGGGGGAGCGGGGCCAGCCTAGGGTGCCCTACCCCCGCTGCCACCTCCGATTGTCCCCCTGGGTCCCCCCCCGACAGGTCGCGGCCGCGGAGGAATCAGGGCGACGCCGGGCGACTCCCAGCAATTTTGGGTTGGGAACCGCAGAAATGCAGCGCGGCGCGAGCCAGGGCGGCCCGGCCCGGGGACAGCGACGGGCGGAGGACCGGGGGGCGGGGGGGGAATCACAGGGCCGGGGAGCCAGGGCACCTTGGGGGGCTTGGGAGGGATCGCTGGCAGCCTGGGGGGGGTCTCAGGGGCGGGGGGGGTCTCTAGCAGCCGGGGGGGGGATCCCCAGGACAATTTGCGGTCGTCCCAAGGCTTGGGGGGCACGTGGGGTACCCCAGATTTGCACGGGGGGGGAGTCTTTGGCAGGTTGGAGGGGTCACGGACCACGGTGGCAGCTTGGGGGGGTCCGTTCGGCAACCTGGGGGGGTCCTTTAGCAGCCGGAGGGGGGTCGGGCCCCCGGTGCCGCCCCCGCCGCTGCCGTTGCCACCGCTCTGATGTGGCTTCGGCACCGCAGCGCAATGGGAGCCACATGGCGGGGGGGGCACACGGATAGGGGGTGTGCGGTGCTGGGGGCCGCCCCTGTCCCCCGGCGGTCACCTCTGTCCCCCCGGGGCCACCCCTGTCTCCCCAGGGCACCGCTGTCCCCCCGGCTGTCCCAGGGTCTGTCCGTCCCGGCTCAGTGCCCGTGTCCCTCCCGCCCCCCCGCGGCCCCCGCAGTTATTTCCAGGGATAATTCCGGGATAATTAAAGGGTGGGAGGAAACACCGGGGCCGTGGGCGCAGCTCAACCCTGGGGCCACCCTGCCCTGGCTTCCCCGTGGGTGGGAACCCCCCAGCCCCATTCCGGGTGCCCCCCCAATCTCTGCAGGTCCCTTCACATCCCCAGTGTCCCCTCGGGTCCCTCCAGATTCCCCCACGTCCCCCTGGGTCCCCCAATATCCCGCTGGATGCCCCATGATCCCACGGGACCCCCCGGCTCCCCCACGGTCCCATGGGACCCCCAACCCCCTCCCCATGGCCCCCTGCACCTCCCACGTCCCCGCGCGTCCCCCGGCTCCTCCTGGCCCCCCCATGTTCCCCCTGCTTTCCTCCTGCCCCGCAGACCCTCCCTGTCCCCCACCTTGGGGGCGATCGCTGGGACCCCGGGGGGAGCTCAGGCCTGTTCCGAGCCCTCGGAGCCTCCCCCGGCCCCCCCCGGGCCCGTGGGCGGCCGTGGCCGGCGCACCCAGCGCGGGGGCTGCGCTATTTCGGGGCCTCCGACCGCAAGGGAAACATCCGGGGGCCGGAGAGAGCGGGCGGGGCCGGGCCGGGGGGGACACGGGGGGACACCGCGCCAGGTGAGGGCTGGGGTACGCAGGGGTCACCCCGGTGTCCCCGGGTTGGGGGCAGAATGGGGGGAGGGCTTGGGGGGACAGTGCTGGGTGTGCGCATTCCCAGTGTCCCCAGTGCCCGCTCCCAGTGTCCCCCCTCCTAGTGCCCCCGCACACACGTGGGAGGAACTCGGGGCTGGTTCCGCTTCCCCCCCAGCCCGAGGGGCCGCGGTGCTCCCGGTGTCACCGCGGGACCCGGGGGGGCGGCACCGCCGGGACCCCCGCACTGGGCAGGGGGCGTCCCCTGACCCTGGGGGCCGGGATGGGGACAGGGACACTTCCAGCCCTGTAATCTCTGTCGTGCTGAGACCCCCAAACACATCTCAGGGGGCTGAGCCCCCTCAAACTCGTGTCAGTTCCTGCCCAGGCTGATAAACGGGGGTGAATGAGGCAGAGGAGGGCAGGAGGGATGGAGGAAGGGATGGACAGACGGACAGTGGCTGGCCGGCTGCCGGAGGACGGAGCCCCCCCGGCCCGTGTCCCCCCGCCCTGGCGAGGTCCCGGCGTCCGGCCGGGTATAAATACCGGTAATTGAGGGGGCCCGGCGCGGCCGCGGGGCCGTGGGCGGCCGAGCCCGGCGCCGCCCTGTAATCAGCCCCCGCCGCCGCCCCCCCGCCGCCGCCGCGCTTTGAAGGGTCCCGGGGCACACGGGGGGGTCCCCACCGCCCCCGGGCCGGGGAGAGACCCTCACCCCAACTGACACCCCCATCCCAGCCCCGGCCGTCTGGGCAGCGCCAGACATCCCCAAAAAACCGGACGCTGGTGGGAGCGATGCTGGTGGGAGTGAAACTCCCCAAAAAACCCATGGGGTGCTCCCCCCCATCCCACGCCGGGCTGGCTGAGGAGGAGGGCTGGAGTGGCCGTCCCAGTTTGCTCCCAGTTTGTGGGCAGTGGAAGCCCCAGCGAGGGGGGGCCGGTGGTTGTGGCCTTCGGCGGCGCCGGCGGCTGCGGAGCGGAAAGCCCTGACTCAGGGCTGGGAAAGGGCCCCGCTGGCTCCGACCGGCCCCGGCGGGGGGAAAGCAGGGAAGGGAGAAAGCGAAAAGAAAATGGGAAGGATGGAGGAGTAGTAACATAAAAAAGCGGAGGTTGGAACAATT